TGTTTATATACCATTTTGTATGCTCTCAAAACAAATACACACAGTCAGAAAACATTTGCAACACATTTATATGTCTATATACGTGTCTGCATCTAGAAAAAGAAGTGTTTTTCACAAACAAATAGGTCATATAACATAAGAGATTTCACAGTTTCTGTCACAAATGCTCACTGCAATTCACAATGCTTTTGTATGCTCACAAAACAATTACACACAGCCAATTTTGTTGGAAATCAATGGTGATTTCAACCTGGAAAAAGCTCTAAAATCTATTAAAAGTGCCACACATTCATATATATAAACTAATAGATCATCTCACATAAACAGACTGACTGCACAAGGAATTGTTTAAAAGCAGAGCTCTAGGTCTTTTACAAAGTGTTTTTTTTTCTTTCCTCCTCTAGCTGTATATTTGTCTCACAGGGTTGCTGCTTTGCAGTGAGTGTTAAATAGCTTTTGGTGAGACCCATAATTTGTAACATCAAAGCTATGGATGTGATATTTTAGCAGCACTTTGAAAACTACACAGCCTTCATAGTGTATTATTTAAATGTACTTTACGCCATCCGATTAAATCCTGATGGATAAAATTGCGTAATAAAGAAACAAAGTGCATTTATTGAAGCAAAACCTGATGTCAGCTCAGCGGCTCCGACCCATCCTAACTGTTTACGTCTCTCTTTGCACTTTCACATCTATTTCCCTGTCTGACGTTGTAGTGCGCACCGAGAAAACACTGGTTGTGCTGATCTCTCTACCTTTGGCCAAGGAGCCGTGAGATTAAAACAGCTCTCCGCAGCAGCCCTCGCTCTCTCTCTCTCTCGCCATCATCAACAGTCTCGCTCGCTCAACTTATTGGCCCTTGAGTCAGAATAATTATAAATTCAGGTTATCCCTCAGAATTAAGTAGATAAGGGTCTGTGTCCAGAGCTTATCCTTAATTTATGCAGATACTCTCGGAATCCCACGTTAAGAGCTGGATTTGGTTCCAAAGTAGTCCAATTAGATGGTCTATTCGGCCTCATCATACTTATAATTCAAATTGTTTGGCTGAGTGAGGTTTATGTAATACAGGTAATGATGAGCGGGAGAATCTATCAGCATTCGCCAATTGAGAGTGTTTAATATTTATGACGAGTCAAGATGTCTTTTCCAGCTGAATACAAATGCTTTTCTGAGTGTGCAAATCAGCTGAAAATTCTCAATTTCTGCCCCTAAAGTGTTTTTGTCATTCATGTCTACTGATTTTTTTCCCTCCTCCAGCAAGACCATTATGTAAACTAGATTGAAAAACAACATCAACAACAACACCACCACCAATACAAAAAATAAGATATGAATCCACACTTCACCGGGCTAAATCTTGTATTTTTAGAGAAATATTGCACAAGCTGGGTAACAAATGCCTGATTGACATGCCTGGCCTTTGTTTTCTGGAACCCTTGAGTGCTTTGCGGTTTGTTTTGTGTTCGCTCTTTTATAAATGAACTTGCTCACCTTGTCTCGCAAAAATCAGAGCGTGTTTACGTGCCTGTCCGTCTGTCCTTGGGTTGGGCTCTGTTCAGGCTTGTAAAGGAAAGACAACCCGATGGCGAGAGTGATTTGATTGCCTGTGGGTTGGAAATAAAAATATATACATTGAGAAACATGGAAGCGACATTCAATCAGACGGCTGTAAATTAGTCCACAGATCACAGCGAGAAAGGCACAAGAGGCATCAACAATTCCTCCAGATTGCTATAACATAACAAAGAGACAAAAGTGATAAATATAGTCACAAACACCAAAAATCAAAGAGACAAAATGGCCAAGGTTTTCTCAGTACAGGTGAATTTTAACTTCCTTAGTCAAAGGGGAAAGTCGTGGCCTAATGGTTAGAGATTCGGACTCGTAACCCAAAGGTTGTGGGTTCGAGTCTAGTACCGGCAGGGATTGTAGGTGGGGGGAGTGAATGTACAGCGCTGTGTGTGCACTTTGGATGGGATAAATGCAGAGCACTAATTCCGAGTATGGGTCACCATACTTGGCCACATGTCACGTCACTTTAAATAGCTGAGGATGGTTTGGTTATTGCGCCCCCTTTGGAGGGAATTCAATAACATTTGGTGCGTCTCTTTGAATTGTCTTTTTGTTAATGCATAGTAAGGTTCATGATGATTGGACATGGAGTTCAGAAGAAACAGGCCAATTACTCAATACAGGACACAGCCAAAATGTATTGGTTTACAAGCTGACACAAGGCTATTTGTGATCTATTTCTACTAGGATTGTGAAATGTTTTAGTTTGTTTGAATTGGAAATTCAGATCCTGAAATGAGACACCTGAAAACTACTCTTCTGAGTCTTGTTGTTGTTAAATGTCCAGACCAAAACACACAGTGAAGAGAGTCATGCTTCACATATTGTATTGAACTAATGACAGGAGCTTCTGTAACCTCGTTCTCTCAGCTGTGAAATTACAGCTCTGCCTTACCAGACCTATATAATGAGCCCAATAACAGTGAGGGAATGACATGATTAGTTAATAAAGAAGTCTCAGGCAGTGTGTGGCCTAAGTATTAAAATGATTTATTTTCGTAATAAATACTCAGTCTCTCTCCGTCTCTCTCTGTCCTCCTGCGTGTTTATGCATTCCGCTGATGTAGCCCAGCCAGACTAGAACACTTTTACTAAGGTGACTTTGATTCCAGGGGGTTGTTAATGTTTTAACAGTCTTATGTGGCTCTCCTCACTTTCTTTTCCTATTACATGCCTTTATATCGGTCTTAATGTGCTTTTTCTGTGCGTCTGTTTTCATGCAATGCAGATGAGCTGTGCTGTCCGGGTCACGGCACCATTTTATGGGCAATGGTTAATTCTCTCTCTTAAAGTGTTATGAAACCCCTCATTTCAACAAAGGTCAGTTCGTACCACTGTTTTAGAAAATGCACAAAAAAGTAGTTAAGGCACACTGCGGTGAGGGGAGAGAATAAAACTACTGTCTGTGCTCTCGTTTTATTTCGCATTAATGGATTTAACAGTTTCTCTCACAAATGCTCGCTGCAATTCACAAATACATGCAACAAAATGCTGAAATATATACACCATTTTGTATGCTCACAAAACAAATACACACAGGCCATTTTATTTCTGTAATTCAATGCACAAATAAACGCTGAGCTGTTTGCATTGTACTCTGCATTGAAGATGTATGTGTGAAAGGAGGAAAACAGAAAATACGTGTGAATGCACATTTGCAGTTTTTATGACTTTTGAGGCTGTTTCTCACTTGTGATTTCAACCTGAAAAAAAGCCATAAAATCTATAAATCAACAGCTTTACCCTTAAGATTTTAAATTAGACATGCTAATACTAAACTCCACCTTGGGCAACACATGTATATCTAAAAAAATGAGTGTTTCACAAACTAATAAGTCATATCATGTAAACAGATTTAAGTTTTTCTCACAAATACTCACAGCAATTCACAAATGCATGCAAAAAGTGCTTATAATGTTTATATACCATTTTGTATGCTCTCAAAACAAATACACACAGTCAGAAAACATTTGCAACACATTTATATGTCTATATACGTGTCTGCATCTAGAAAAAGAAGTGTTTTTCACAAACAAATAGGTCATATAACATAAGAGATTTCACAGTTTCTGTCACAAATGCTCACTGCAATTCACAATGCTTTTGTATGCTCACAAAACAATTACACACAGCCAATTTTGTTGGAAATCAATGGTGATTTCAACCTGGAAAAAGCTCTAAAATCTATTAAAAGTGCCACACATTCATATATATAAACTAATAGATCATCTCACATAAACAGACTGACTGCACAAGGAATTGTTTAAAAGCAGAGCTCTAGGTCTTTTACAAAGTGTTTTTTTTTCTTTCCTCCTCTAGCTGTATATTTGTCTCACAGGGTTGCTGCTTTGCAGTGAGTGTTAAATAGCTTTTGGTGAGACCCATAATTTGTAACATCAAAGCTATGGATGTGATATTTTAGCAGCACTTTGAAAACTACACAGCCTTCATAGTGTATTATTTAAATGTACTTTACGCCATCCGATTAAATCCTGATGGATAAAATTGCGTAATAAAGAAACAAAGTGCATTTATTGAAGCAAAACCTGATGTCAGCTCAGCGGCTCCGACCCATCCTAACTGTTTACGTCTCTCTTTGCACTTTCACATCTATTTCCCTGTCTGACGTTGTAGTGCGCACCGAGAAAACACTGGTTGTGCTGATCTCTCTACCTTTGGCCAAGGAGCCGTGAGATTAAAACAGCTCTCCGCAGCAGCCCTCGCTCTCTCTCTCTCTCGCCATCATCAACAGTCTCGCTCGCTCAACTTATTGGCCCTTGAGTCAGAATAATTATAAATTCAGGTTATCCCTCAGAATTAAGTAGATAAGGGTCTGTGTCCAGAGCTTATCCTTAATTTATGCAGATACTCTCGGAATCCCACGTTAAGAGCTGGATTTGGTTCCAAAGTAGTCCAATTAGATGGTCTATTCGGCCTCATCATACTTATAATTCAAATTGTTTGGCTGAGTGAGGTTTATGTAATACAGGTAATGATGAGCGGGAGAATCTATCAGCATTCGCCAATTGAGAGTGTTTAATATTTATGACGAGTCAAGATGTCTTTTCCAGCTGAATACAAATGCTTTTCTGAGTGTGCAAATCAGCTGAAAATTCTCAATTTCTGCCCCTAAAGTGTTTTTGTCATTCATGTCTACTGATTTTTTTCCCTCCTCCAGCAAGACCATTATGTAAACTAGATTGAAAAACAACATCAACAACAACACCACCACCAATACAAAAAATAAGATATGAATCCACACTTCACCGGGCTAAATCTTGTATTTTTAGAGAAATATTGCACAAGCTGGGTAACAAATGCCTGATTGACATGCCTGGCCTTTGTTTTCTGGAACCCTTGAGTGCTTTGCGGTTTGTTTTGTGTTCGCTCTTTTATAAATGAACTTGCTCACCTTGTCTCGCAAAAATCAGAGCGTGTTTACGTGCCTGTCCGTCTGTCCTTGGGTTGGGCTCTGTTCAGGCTTGTAAAGGAAAGACAACCCGATGGCGAGAGTGATTTGATTGCCTGTGGGTTGGAAATAAAAATATATACATTGAGAAACATGGAAGCGACATTCAATCAGACGGCTGTAAATTAGTCCACAGATCACAGCGAGAAAGGCACAAGAGGCATCAACAATTCCTCCAGATTGCTATAACATAACAAAGAGACAAAAGTGATAAATATAGTCACAAACACCAAAAATCAAAGAGACAAAATGGCCAAGGTTTTCTCAGTACAGGTGAATTTTAACTTCCTTAGTCAAAGGGGAAAGTCGTGGCCTAATGGTTAGAGATTCGGACTCGTAACCCAAAGGTTGTGGGTTCGAGTCTAGTACCGGCAGGGATTGTAGGTGGGGGGAGTGAATGTACAGCGCTGTGTGTGCACTTTGGATGGGATAAATGCAGAGCACTAATTCCGAGTATGGGTCACCATACTTGGCCACATGTCACGTCACTTTAAATAGCTGAGGATGGTTTGGTTATTGCGCCCCCTTTGGAGGGAATTCAATAACATTTGGTGCGTCTCTTTGAATTGTCTTTTTGTTAATGCATAGTAAGGTTCATGATGATTGGACATGGAGTTCAGAAGAAACAGGCCAATTACTCAATACAGGACACAGCCAAAATGTATTGGTTTACAAGCTGACACAAGGCTATTTGTGATCTATTTCTACTAGGATTGTGAAATGTTTTAGTTTGTTTGAATTGGAAATTCAGATCCTGAAATGAGACACCTGAAAACTACTCTTCTGAGTCTTGTTGTTGTTAAATGTCCAGACCAAAACACACAGTGAAGAGAGTCATGCTTCACATATTGTATTGAACTAATGACAGGAGCTTCTGTAACCTCGTTCTCTCAGCTGTGAAATTACAGCTCTGCCTTACCAGACCTATATAATGAGCCCAATAACAGTGAGGGAATGACATGATTAGTTAATAAAGAAATTTAGAGAAACAGACAAAAAGATTTGTTCAGGAGACAGACCCAGACTTCTAGCCCTGTTTAGGACTATAAATTCAATGGGTTACCTGGTTAATTCAATTTGCTACAAAAAGTGTGTTCCTTCAACAACAGCATTTTTTTTTTAAGTTAAGGTTATATTAAAACACTGAATTTTTCAAATAAAACAATTATGTATATTTATTTTTCTCAATGTTTGATTTTTATTGTTATATCTTTATTCCAGACCCACACTTTCAATCTTAAAATATGAATTTTATTTTATTTTTTAATATTATGGTTAAAATTAAGAATGGAAAAAATATATACCACTCTGATATTTACTGTAAAAACTGTTTCAATCTAAATAAATATTTCAATCAAAATACAGTTTTAAATGTAATTACCACCACAACCAACAAAAATATCAGCTATCACATCTAAGAATATTTTTATTTTGTCAAAATTTCAGCTTGATTAGAAATCATGCAAAGTATGGGAAAAAAGTGAAATATTATTTCATTTGTGTATGTAAGATACATAAAATGCTATGTAAATAGCCTTAAACAAAGGAGTCATTATTGCGTAAATGTTTAAAACGTCATTCACACCACAGAACAATTGGTGATTTGAGTTGAAATGGAAATAAAAAGATCTCTATGATGTATTTTTTTGGATGAACTATACTCATTTTTAAAGTGTATTTTAAGGGAATTTCATAGTGTATTTTAAGGGAGTTTAATTTCCCTAAAAGTTAAAAGTCCCTAAAAGTGCCCATACTGGCAGAAACACCCATATACTCGGTTGTGTCGGTTTGTCTCTGATTTGTTTAACAGTATAAAACTCAATGTCTACCCCAGCAAGAGCCTTCATGATGGTTTAACGGACATGTGACAATCAGTCATAATCAATACACCTCATTCACTCTTGTGCCCTCATTTGACTCTGATCTCATCCGCTCTCACAAAGATACCAACTTGCATTTTGCATTTCAATATCTTCCATCCCCTAACCCTTGTGCACAGTTCCAGATGTGTGGCAAAATATGGATGAGATGAGGTTGTGCACAGCAGGGAACATGCTGGAACATGCATCCAAATCCTCATTTATGGAACATGTCCTAGATATGCAGCTGAGAATCAAAATAAATCAACACTCGCACTGTGTGATTGTGGTTTTAATGCAATTCTGTGCATGACGCGTCTATAAAAGTACTCAGAACAGCATTTCAGAAAGTCATAGATATATCTGCTTCTTTTTAGTGATATAATATAGCATGTTCTAGCTCAAATCAACATTGAGCACAGAAAACGAGACAATGGACAAGGAAAGCCTTAAAACGTTAGCTTGATTCAGCTGGTAGAGAGCCTTTATCTTCAGCACGGATTCAGCACTCACGTGTTTGACATCATAGGGTCACGAACGGCACCAAAATAAACCCACGTGGCTGTGATATAGAGGTAAGTAGTAGTCATGGAAAAAGCCTGTCGGAGCTAATCAACCTCAGCAGCAATAAAAGTCTTCACAATGACCTCGACCTGGACTTTGACCTTAAAGACGAACATGGAAGACTGACTCAGGTGCCACTTTCACAACAACATGACGAGAAACTCCTTTATAGAGTCCCTACAACAACCTCTGACCCAAGGATTTCAACAAACTGGCTTGTTCTCTAACAAACCCCTTTGTTAATTACAATAGTCTTTTTTTGTCAACTGACAGCAGCTAATGGACTTCATTACGCAGCTTTAATGATGCACAAATTGAGTACATGGCATCTTGTCATTCAAAATCTGTACGATTTTCTTTCTTCAGTGGAGGACAGCATATATTGCAGAATATACATAGTGTTCATTATAATAGAGACAGTTAAGTGAAATAAATAAATAAATAAAAAAGTCCATATGGCTATACGTCACTATATTCCAAGTTTGCCTTTTGCCACAGCTCTTAAATATTATTCAATTCAAATTCACATGTAAAGATGTCACATCAGGTTTGACGTCGCCAGTGTTATTGTATTATTATACACAGTTAAACATTTCCATCTATTTCAAATTAAAAACTTAAGTTCAGTTGCTGCCTTAAAATTTTTCAAGTGTGTATAATATATATATATATATATATATATAGGTAGATAGATAGATAGATAGATATATTATATATCTATATCTATACACATTCAGTACACACAATCAAGTCAACTGAAATCAAAAAGGGTTGAAACTGCTCAACTTATTTTCATGGGTTAAAGTAATGCAAAAACGAATTACTATTACGGTATGTATTAATTACTATACTAATTAAAATATTTGTAATTTTGTTATATGCTTGTCATTTTTATTATTTTTTAAATATTTTTTGGAAATATATCTATTTACATAGACAGTCTCTCAGTGACCTGTTCTACACAGGTCGGTAATAATTGATAGTTCATGGATGACTTTCAGTTCCCATGTCTGATCTTTAACCGCTAGGCTACCAGACCACCGATAAATAAATCCCGTTCCTGCACACTTTCATTAAGAGCACTTTGTCTTCATTCCTCGACACCTATACGAGTTTGTAGTTCAGCCAATGGCAGAGAGCTGTTTGGTTGTGAGTGATGACCTAGGTGATGTACAGGGACAGAAGGTCATTCATCCCATGGAGGATGGACTCGCCAGCGGTGTGAAACATTCTCTTTCTTTTTTTTTTAGTTGCTTTATTACTTGTTGCTTATTTTTTGAGTGACAGGAAGCTACTCTTTCAGTTTCCCTCAGGTCATGGGCAAACTTAAACAATAAAACTCTCAAAACAGTGTGTGTTTGTGCCTGGTGAGGGCGAACAAGAGACCTGGGAAGAAGGAGAAAGTGTGTGTGTGACAGACAGATACATATCAAAGTTAATGAAAAAAAAGTACACAAGTGCAGAGCTTCCTCTGCTTACCTGGGCTGAATCACAAGGCTCAAATGCTGATACCCAGCAGACACTATTGGTTTATGAGTGTGAGCTGTCCATCAAGGCTTTGGCAGATACAGTACTAAAGAAATAAAGGAAATAACTAGTTCGGTCACGCCTAATTTCACACTGTTTTCGAACCCCGGTTGGCCTGAAGCTCAACGCCTGCTTGCTCACGATACACACAATTCCCAAAACTTAAAACAAAAAACAGGAGAAATTATGCTTGATGCTGCAATGACTATTTCTGAATGTTATTTAAAACAATAAATATAAGGATTGATACATATTTCATATCAAAGATTGATTTATAGTAAAGTTTGATATATATTCATATATGTCGAAAACATTTGTAAAAAAAATAAGAAATATATAATATTTGTATTTATTTAAAAATGTAAAAATTATTATTATTTAAATAAATAGTTCAAATAAGTTTCAAATAAACTTTAAAGCAAGATTGCTTACAAATAATTTGATATGATAGACCTAAATCTATTTAAATAATTTATTTTAAAAACCCTCTTGATTAACATTGCATATTGCAGAGAACAAATTAGACAAATTAGACAACAATAACTAAATTACTTTATGTAATGACAGCCAGACAGTGGCTTTAAAATATTTTTAAATTGAGCATTTTTCCTCTGTGGAACACAAAAAGAGAAATGTTAATAATGTACTGATTATTCTTGTCTATACATTTACAATTAATGGTGAACCAAAGCTTTCACGCTTCAAAACAGATGAAAACACATAAAGACAGACAGACAGACACACACACACACACACACACACACACACACACAGTATTAGGGTATTCCACTATATCCATCTCAGCTAACCATTCCACTATATCCACTCACTCACAGCACCGGACACACTTTAGGACAAGTACTGATACTGTGTTAGCTTGGACTGACTAATGAGTAGCAGAAATCATCACTCTGATGTCTATAGTGACATGCTTCAAACATAACTCACACACATTACACATTAATGGCCAGCATCTCAGAGGGGAGCCCGGTTAAGGGGCTGCTGTCACGAATTCAGAAATAGAACCACTGACAGATCACGAATCTGAGAACTTTTCCAAGAATACATGATGGTTTTAACTTTTACATCATAAAATGTTTTTCTTT